TGCAATCATGACAGGCAGCAGTAAATTCTATCTACCCAAGACGTTCCGAATTATGGCCCAGTTCAAAACTGAAGTGTACCAAGATATGGTCCAGGAATGTCTTGCAATGGCAGCCTAGACAAAGGCAAGCCCTTTTAACAAAACCTCCGCATATCCTAGCACCGGAATGCTACATTCCTCGGTTCGCGCCGCAGTTTCTCCAGCACTGGCACCACGTCCAGAAGAGTGGGGATGATATCGGACGACCTCGCAGAGTCCAACGTGTATTGGTTTCAAACTCTAAACCCTGGACCCAAAGCCCAAAACCCTAAACCCCAAACTCTTAAAACATAATCCCAACACCGCATCCTAAACCCCAAGCCCAACATCCGGAATCCTAAGCCTTGGGGTTGGGCACTGAAGGTCAGCATTTTCCGTTGAAGTCCACTGTAAAGACAATGAGCCAAAAATAGGGGCATTTTCAATAATTACCTATAAAAACTGTATACTATTTTGGGGGTTCCTTATTTTTCTAAAACCGTAGTATTAAGGCCCCTACATTAGGATTCTGGTTGCGAAGATCCGCAGGGACTGGCGCAGTTTGCTGCGACAGGTTTGTGTTGCACAGTTGGATTTGGGTGCTTTTTAAGGGGTTTGGGTTCAAACGGAAAGATATGGCATGATCTTGGGAGGGTTTAGGATTTGAGGTCTGGCCCTTCAACAGCGTATTTCTTGCAAGGGTTGGTTGAATACAGGTTTTCTAGGAAATTGCTTTCTGAGACTGAATCTCCCGAGAAGTTCGGGGTGTGGTTTTTTTCTGGTAGTTAGGCCCCATATGGGAGTTTCCGATTATTAGGGGTACCTTAGTTTGGGGTCCCTATAAGAAGGATCCTATTATTTAGGGTACTATATTAGGGTCCCCTATGTTCGGGAACCCCCATATTCGAGATTTGTTGAAGTGGCTGTAGAAAGCTGTGGGTTGTCCCAATAACCCCAGATGTTTGATTCAGATCCGGGGCTCCTCATGCCTAAAGCGACGATTCATGGAGACGAAAATGCTGTGCATGCGAGTTGCTCTTCTCGTCCTTCGAGTTTGGTGTTGGAGGGGTCTTGAGGTGCGCGGAAAATCTATAGGCTACCACCTGTATATGCGTATACACACACAGACGTTCAGGCATACATACATGGGGAGTTCTGGTTTTCTGACATCCACCTATGTTGTTGTTTGTGTAGCAGCTAGAGCAATGCATGGGGTTAAACCCCACACGCAAAACTAGCACCAAGCCCTAACAACAATTTGACTTCAACTCGTATCCACAGGCGCACATGGCATGCCCTGTGTACCACACGGCTTGGACAAGGTTGACAGTAATCTGGATTTGCCGGTTTTGCTGTAGGGTTTGCTACATGGTTTGCTGTAGGGTTTACTGTTGGGTTTTGTTGGGTTCATACACACATATAGTATTAATCAATATGAATGCTTGACAGTTATTTTATGCATAAAAGGATTCCAAAACAGATACTTCAAGGGCAAAGCTTATTACACGGCTTGTTGGGGAGATGGACAAACCGAAACATGCATACGATTTTGATGTTTTATGTGGACTCGCTGACAGTTTCCAAACGTGATGAGTCACATGCCGACACACAAGGACAAACCACACCGAGAAACAGTGGGGCCGAGCAGCCTCCACTGGAGCTATGCGTATTCGCACTACCGTGAGAGACCTTTTATGGAACACAATCCGACTACACTGCTGCAGATGTCTATGTAAACCAATGATGACAACAGCAATTATCATGGTAGTAAGAAGCACGAGTCCCGATCAGTCAGCAGTATTATATTACTTATAAACTTTACTTGTATTTTACTTCTACGCATGCATGCATGTATGTGCGCACTCGCACACAAACGCAAAGATACATACACCTTGCCGGTGCGCATTCGTGCGCTTGTGAAATAGCTAACTACGCGAGACGGCATGTCATGGTGTCAGGTAGCAATAAACAGTGTCCTCGTCGAGCCTGTATCTCGCGCTTTGTCCGCAGGGTACACGACTCGAGCGCTGTCCGCACAGCTGAGGGCATGAGCCTGAGAAAACCTGGGCACGGCATTACCAAGCGTCTCGCGGATTGATGACATGGGCGATTTAAGGCTTTGTAGGGAACGATGTCATTACGATTTGATTTTGGGGGTGACTTGTTTGCAAGGAGTGCAGTGCAGCAGGTGTAAGCGCAACGGTTTTCTCAACGGGAGCCTCATGGTACCGACTTTTCCAACATACAAGGAAGATGCTGCTATCCCAATCTGTGAGCCGTGCGATTCCTTTCATCATGGCTGGCCTTAGCATGGCTTCGGGATGTTTCCACAGTGATACCTGTGAATACAACAAACCTGGAAGCTGTTTACTGTTTACCGTTTACCCTATGTCTTCAATCCTTATTCCAAGTCGGGTGCATCGTGTCTTGAGGTCAGGGTGTTCGGCTGTTACCAGCAGACTAACCACCTTAAACCCATCCCTTGCTCTTGCCCTTTCTTTGGATTCCTTTTTCACTCATACCGACATAGATCCTTGCTTTCCTTTCACGGCCCATAGAAGTCTGCATTCTGTTGCCTCTGCTTGCTGCTGTATCACTAGTAGTGTTTACTGCAACAGCCACCAAGAGAGAAAAGAACGAGAAGCCCCCCTAAACCCTAAACCCTAAACCCTAAACCCTAAACCCTGAACCCTAAAGCCTAACCCCGGCTCAGGACTCCTTGGATACAGTACGGCCGGTTCGCCGCATCGGCCCGCCGCCGCTGCCGGCGCGCGGAATCGGGAGAAGCAGGGGGAGAGCTCGAAGCCGGGCTTAGTTCACATCCTATACACCAGGACCCTTCCAGTGCCCCTGAACAGAGCCCTTAGGGTCTGTCATGGTGGGTATTTAGGGTACAGTAGAGGCTAGTTGCAGGGTCTAAGAGCCTCAAGACGCAATAATAAACCATGAGTCCTGAAGCCCCAAACACCAAAGCCTGAGCCCAATTACTCAACCCGTAGGCCCCATAGTGGTTCCTCTTTTTGGGATTACCTCATAGGATCCTAAATATAACCCTAGGCCCCATAGTAGGGTTTAGGGTTTAGGGTTTGGGGTTTCCTTTTTGGGATTACCTAATAGGATCCTAAACCTAAGCCACAAAGAGGAACTACTATGGGCCTATGGGAAGATCAAGGGTCTCAGGTCGCAACACAGCGACATGACCATGAGGGTTTAGGGTTTAGGGGTTTAGGGGTTTAGGGTTTAGGGTTTAGGGGTTTAGGGGTTTAGGGTTTAGGGTTGCTTTAGGGTTTAGGGTTGGTTTAGGGTTTAGGGTTCGCCATGAACTGATAGACCTATCGGCCTGTTTGTGGGGCCATTGAATGACTCCCTAGGTGGCTTTAGAAGGGTCCGGGGCCAGAGTCTCCTTTCGAGGCAACTTCCGGACAAGTGAAACTCCTTCGTCTTATATGGGATCTTCCGAAATTAGGGGTACCTTATTTTGGGGTCCTTATAATAAGGATCCTACTATTTAAGGTGCTATATTAGGGTCCCCTATTTTCGGAAAGCCCCATATGCTGGCCATAAAGCAGTTTTCTAGGTGGCCACTTGAGGAAGCCTTACAGGTTTCCTTTGTGGTTCTTGCAGACGTACCTATTCCTAAATTTATCCCAGATCTGGAAGCTCCTAAACCCTATAAACCCTAAACCCTAAACCCTATAAACCTTAAACCCTAAACCCTTACGGGGTTTAGGGTTTAGGGGTTCCTCGAAGTGTTTCATTCCTGGAGTTTCAGATAGCCAGGGCGACTAGGGACTTTGAACATCGACCCCGGTTATCAGGTGGAATGGGTATTGTAAGGACCCTTCAATACTAAACTAGGGAGCCCAAGTCAAGAAATCCCATTGTGGCCGTTGGATTGAAGCTTACATGTTCGGTGAGGAGCCTGAGCTGGGCATCGAGAGGGTTTCAAAGCTTAGGGCAGAAGTAGGCTTTGTGTTGATGCGTGCTCCCTGCTTAGGACGCGGATCCGATTCTCTATTAAGATGGGTTTGGGGCATCCGGTTCTTTGGGATCTATAAGAAGGTCCCTCGTGATTCTCTGGAATGTGGAACTCCCCTTTACAGGGTTTGACGCCACTTTTCCGTGGACTCCAGCGCGGTTCTTGCAGGAAATGCTTGGGGGGAAGGGTTTGGGACTTGCGATTTGGGGGGACCAAATACACAGACATCTTTGAAGCTTGAGCCATGGGCGGGATGTGTCCTCCTTCAAGGGTTCTCGTGTGTTTTGCTGCGTTCAGCTTCTCGCAATCAGACAGCAGGCGCGGGCCCTGTTTCGAGAGCCGATCGGTGCGGCACGAGCAAACTATGGCGCCACTTGGCTGAGGGATTCTTAGGATTCAAGCCAGGATTAGAGGTACGGTTCCGCAGCTCGGCTGGCGCTGACTTTATCTCAGTCTGATAAGCTCTGTGCAGTTTGGGCAGTGCATACAGTCGGTAGCAAGCGCGAGAGCTGTCCAAGCTCAGAGATGCATTTCTGGATTGTGCAAGGTTTGGGTGAAAGCCCACAAGGCAGCCAGGAGCCCAGAGCAGGATGGGCCATGTGTACGCAGATAGGGAGGCGGGTGAGTTCGAGACAGAGTTCATGTCCGTAGTCCGCGACCTCAGTTTCAACAAGTCTGAATTGAACAGCTGCTTTGGCTTAAACGGTAATTTCCGTTCTGCCTCGGTCCAAAATATGAGACTGGCTGCGGTGGGATCTGACGGGAAAGCACCCATGCACAAGGCGTTCACATTCGTCGGTGCGCTTTGCATTGGGATAGAAGAGTATGACAGTAAAGATCTGCCAAATCTACCGAACGCCCGACGGGATGCTGAACAGTTCTCAGAGGCGCTGATCAGCAGAGGGCTGCCAGAAAGCAGTCTGTGCCTCCTGGTAGGTAAGGTTTGCCAGAGCGATCTAAAAGCTGCCATCAAAAGCTTCCTGGACATGGTGGACAGCAGCGCATGCCGGGGGACCAGCCCCAACTCATCGTGATCTCTGTGGCCAGCCATGGTCGGCAGCCACTGGACACTGAGCTGCCAGCAATTTTAGCCTCCGATGCTGTGTCCCCTAAGAGCGATACCGGTTCCGTTGACTTGGATTCCCAGATATGCCGTCCTTTGGATTCAGTGACAGGACGAAAGCTAAAAGTTTTGCTCGTGATCGACACCTGCCGTGAGAATGAACGTATTGGCACCTGGACTGGCAATGCAGAAACACGGCTGAAGCGTTTGCACTGGAGCTCCAAAACGGATTTTCAAATCGTGCTGGCCTGTGACAAGGGCAGATTGGCCAGCGAGGAGCAGTCATTAACTGGCGCGCTCATTCGTGAACTTCAATCTTCTAACAAGGACGTTGTCGCTTATATATCTTGTTTTTTGCAGAGCCCCGAATTCTCAGCTGACTTTTTCTTAAATCGTTCGAGTGATTGTTGACGCTGTGGCTGATTCTGCATGTTTCTGCGATGGTGATAGTTCAATATATAAAAACAGTGTCCCTTCTTGGGGCAACCCTTTGCTGAATGCCTTTTCCAGCCAGACTCGTGCCCTCGCAGGACCTAGACACAATCTGCAGAGCCGCGCAGGCGCAGATCGATGAGCAGAGCTCAGGAAAACAACGTCCACCGATACACTCTCGGGGAAGCTTTTCCGACATCCATCTGTCAGGCAAGGTAGTGAAACCGGCTTCCAGCATATGTCTCGATCTGGGACAATGTCAGAAGCTGCTTCTAGCAGCTGGCATGTTGGCTGCAGTCGACGTGTTGCTGTTTTGGGCATTGCTGCAGCGTGTGGACATGGCGTGCACCAACATAACCCACGAACAAAGGCACTTGGCATGTCCTGCCACATCGTGTTTCTGCACTGACTGCGATCCGTCAAACATGTTGTTAAACATGTTCTTGAGCCGTTTCGGGGGTGCCACCGAAGATTCTGTCCCGCCACATGTCTCCAATCGGTCAGCGATGTTCTTGACCCGGTACTCTGCTGTCGACGAAGATGCTGTCTCACCACGCGTCTTCAATCGGACTGCGATTACACTGTTCTGCGAGTTTCCTGTGGCTGGGTCTCTTTTTACGTGATGTGTGGCGAGTCCGTAGCTTATTCCGGCAAGGCAGCTCTCAGACAGGATTGCGTTTCGCCTGCTCTTTGTGTGCAGCCGAATGGGTCAGGATGCTAAAGGATTCTCTACCAAGCAGCACACGGCTGGCAATTGTGACGGTAAAGTGTTTGGCTATCAACACATTATGTCTGGCATCCGGCTTGTTCGATCCGCTTGGTCTGCTCCTGCGGCTCATAGCGCTTGCTGGCCTCTGATTTCTGTTCCGACTGTTCCGAATATCGACGGCTTGCCATCAACTATGACTTTTTCATGGTTTGCATCGAGCGCACAGGGGTTTTGAGGACCTTGTCGCTGCTGGTAGAGTTTGCTCAGCATGTGCATAAGTGCAGCTCTCGGCGCACGCAGACTCCTGAAAGTGGAGTTTAGTTAAACAGGAGTCCATCGAGCATCGTCCAAAGGCCGAGCCTAGAATCGACTTAGAATTTTTTAATTGCAGAAGTGCCTGGCACCAAGCTGAAACGACGTATAACTTGTTGCTATAGAGTGCGCAAAGGCCTAAGGAAGTGCATCACGGAGGCAACATCTGAACAGGATTGCACCTGTCGCGTACCTTGACACCCACTGAGGCCGCCAAAAAGAAGCAGAGGCCCGTAGCCAACGAGAAGTTTCACTCATGTGGTCCAGCCGAGGCAAGAACGGTTTAGGGTTTAGGGTTTAGGGTTTAGGGTTTTTCACTCATGTGGTCCAGCCGACGCAAGCGCGATACACTGAGCCCTGGAGCCTTCATTCTTGCAAACCTCCTAGCCGGCACCTTAGACCCGTACGAGTCCCGACCCGGTTTACATATGATCCCGCTGTCCCTTGAGCCGGCCCTTATAAGCCCTAAACTCCTAAACCCTATAAACCCTAAAACCCTGAACGTAATTATCAAACTCCGAGGTTGCCTTGGAAACCCACCTCCGACCTTCCAAGCGAGGGAATCGCACTGGTCAGGCCCGCAGGTTATTGATTGAAGAGTTATAGGATTTAGGGGCTAGAATGGGTTTAGGGTTTAGCCTCGAGGCTCTAGAGTTGTTGGTTATATAGGCTAGGGCTTATGGGGTTTATGTAGAGCTTAGGGTAATTAGTGATGAGGTTGCGTGAGGCAAAAAAGCATGTTTAATTAACCAGTTGCAGTTAGAAGTCATATTGAGACAAGACTTTTGAATTGGTGAGTGCAAGAGCATTCAAGGTCTACGTGATGTTACGGGCTTTGAGACGCAACATCATTTACCAGGGCCATGTAGGGTCTCGCGGCCTAAGATTTTGGCTCCTTTTGCGGATGATAGGTCGTGTCATCAACTTGGATTGTTGAACTCCATGCATCACATGCCCTGAACCAAGGATAACTACCGGCTAATTCCACAGTTGGAAAGGTCTTTCGGTGTTTCTTTGGAATGAGTCGCGAAGCATTGACGGCCTTACACAGCTGATAGCAAGCACCAAAGCCCGAAATCTGCGCCGGCAGGCAAGATGGGAGCAGACGGCCTGCGTCTCGTTTGGTGGGTGCAAGAAACTGCCAGTCGTATCAGTGGTACATGCGGGGCTCCGTGCAGTAGTTAGGGATCGGTGTGCTTCGTTGGTGCGACGGTTTGCTAGGGTTCCAGCTTGCCGGGAAGCCGCAAAGTGACCTTGCAGAAGTCTTTTGCAGCAGCCTTTCTTTGAAGCCTTTCGCATCATGTCTGCACAGAGGTTCCCATGCATCGGTGCAGTGCTCCCTGAAGCAGGTAGAGATCTCGATCCAGGGGCCACGAATGAAGCTTTTTCGGAGAAGTTTCGACGGCTTCAGGTTATGAGAAACAGTCTCATTCTGGGCATGACTCAAAATAGTCCTCAACTTAGATGTTGCCGGGATTAGGATCTAGGGTTCTGCAGCGTATTTGTCATGGCTCGCCATACCCCTACACCGTGTTCAATCCGGCTTTCCTTGAGCCTGGCCTCTCAAAGGAAGCGGCTTAAGCTATTGGACCTGAGGTTCTGCATGAAAGGTTCGAGTGTTCATTAGAGTTCTGAAGCAACCCTAAACCCTAAACCCTAAACCCTAAAGCCCTCAGATCTGAACTCGCACCAAGAACCTGACCTGTTCCCAACACAACTGCCCAGGTCACCCGCTCATCCATTGGTTATGGATCTGTGCGCGACGATGGAACGCCACTTCGCAGCACATCTCCCGGGTAGCTGTGTTTTTGTGCCTGCTCAGTTCTACTTTCAGGTTGTCCGGGTCAGGGTACGCAATTAGCTAGGTCCGCCATGCTGTGCTCCGGTCTGCTCTTGTGGCTGTTTCACACCCACAGCGAACGAACCAACGAGCGCTGCCACAGATTGGGCTTCTTCTGTCGTGCCTTGACGGGTTGTATACATTACATCAACATTTGTGTATGCATGCATGCATGCATGCATGCATGCATGCATGCATGCATGTATGTGTATGAATATATGTATGTGTGTATATATATATATATGTATGGTAGTTAGGTACGTAGGTAGGCAGGTAGGTAGGCAGGTAGGTTGGTTGGTTCGCAGGTTCGCATATGCGTATGTATTCGCATGTGTATGTACGTATGCATGGTTTGATGTATGTATGTATGTATGTATGTATGTATGTTTGTACGTATGTATGTAATCAGAGACAGAACGACAGCGCGATTTATATCTTCGCATGACGTACAACACGCGACATGCTCCACTGTCCACTCTGAACTGTTTCTTGTACGATGTGCGCACGCAAAGGGACTTCGCAGCATGTTTAACGGCACATCGCGGTTTTTTCCGGGTTGTCGAGAAGGCCGAAGCAGATGGCTTACCCTTCAATGATTCTTAACGCCAGACCCTGTTACTGGATGATAACGATTCTTAATGCCAGACCCTGTTACTGGATGATGTGGGGTATGGGCACGGTTCTGTTTGCGCCTTCACTACAAGCATGGTGCAGCGCCCCGTACTTGTTCTGCTCTGGATGTTCAATGCTTTCCACTTGATCTGTCGTGTTCATGCTCCAATTACGACGTCCGGCTTCTCTCACTCGTTTTTGGCTGCCTGGAGGCTCGACCCCGAACTTGCCTGTGGCTTCTGGAAGGTGCGCCCAGAAAGGGCTGTCTCCTGGTTTGGGTTGAATGAAGGTCATCGCACACATGATTCCATAGGCCGTGCACTCATTCCTCATTGGCAACTCAACATCCGCAAACCCGAAGCCCCACACCCGAAAATCTTTCCTCTGAAACCCAAGCCCTAGTTCCTAGCAAGCGGGAAACTGCCAATACTATGCAGGACAGACCCGATGTCTGTCAGAAACATATGACGTAGACAGCAAGACCAGTTAGCTCCGAGGCTCAAGCCCTGAACTTGAAAGCCTAAGCTCGGGTGGGGGGGCGCTGTGGTCGCGAGTTTCGGAAATAGCCCACGGGACAAATCGTAGACCCCAAGCCCAAGCTGCATCCTTAACCCCAAACCCCGAAAGCACGGTATACCTTAAACTAAACTCGAGGCCAGACCATACTGAGCCCTTCAAGGAACGCTGCAACGGAAACCTTCGACCTCAGCCCTAAGCACGGGGACAGCAGCAGGCAGTGCTCAGCTGTCTCCGCGCGGGGGAGAAAACTGCTGTCCCGAAAGGCCAGGCCACTGACCAGGTTTCTTCTCTTTGAGTTTACTCGGTTACCCGTCCCTGTACACAGACGGAGAAAGACAGAGAGAGAGAGAGAGAGAGAGAGAGAGAGGAGAGAGAGCGAGAGAGGGAGAACATAAGAGTGGGAGGCAGATACTTTCCGCAGAGGGAAAGGGGGATGTTGGAAGACTCGATGTTCCGAGCTTCCGGGGGGTTGTTTTGGAGGCACGTATGAGGTCGAAGAGTCACGACATACCCGGACCTGCCCTGAGATCCCCAAGCCAAGCCCTGAGATCCAAGTGTAACCAGGCTCGTAATAGTTTGCACTACTTGGAGGATCATGGGACTTAATAAGTAAGGTTATAAGTCCCTTAATTGGGGTTATAAGTCAATATAAGTACAGTTACCTTAATTATAACCCTAATTACTATAAGTCCCATGATCCTTTAAGTACTGGTACGTGGTAGGGAGCGCATTGCCTTCTTTGCTTCCCATTGCAAAGTTGACAGGGCAGTAGTGATGTGAGTGCTAGTCACGGCAACCTTGCATATACAGATATTCCGTTGCATGTCTGCCCAGCCAGGCGCTGCGAACAATCAGAGCATGTCTGTGTGCATTGGCGGCCAGGACCTGTTGGGGAAGCCTTCATCTTGACTCACACGGTTTAAGGGTTTCAGGGTTTAGGGAGCATAGATGTTGGGAGGGGGGCGCGCACCGGGATAATTCCACGCCCAAGTCGTACAAGTACTGGAGACCGGCCCAAAGACACCATGAGGTCGGCTGACCTCATGAATTCCTGTAGTAGTTCGACAATATTCTCCTGTCCCTACCACATGCATTGCCCTAAACCCTAAACCCTAAACCCTAAACCCTTAAAATGCACTACAAGCCCTCATCGAGGATGCGTAGGTAGGGTCCGAAGGCCGCACCTGACCCCTGCATCCAGGAGCGTCGGTTGCCCGTGGCGATGGCAGCAATAACATGCATATGGGTAGTTGTCAAAATTATGGTCCCTTTTTGGGTACCCTAAATAATAGGTGCCGTATTATAATAAGGACCCAAAAAGGGACCATAATTTTGACAACCACCCATATATACGGTTTAGAGGGAACAGGTCTTGACGGTTAGTATGGTTCATAGTATTTCGCGGTCAGTTTGTCATGCACATCTTGCGTTTCTGTGGCACCCTAGCGAGGTCTACTTGGAGGTTCATGGGTAGTTATATGTAGGTTTATAAGTCCCCTAATAAGGGGTATAAGTATAGTTACCCTACTTATAACCCCACTTTTAACTACCCATGAACCTCCAAGTAGGAACAAGAACAACAGGCCAAGGCACGGCCTAGGGCTTTCCGTGTGGGTGGTTGTCAAAATTAG